CTGGCTACCGGACCGTCCAAGCCAGGCCCTTTGCCAGCACCTTTCCTGATGTATTGCTTAGCCGGCTCAGGGATGGCGGGAAGGGTGTCACCATCGACATCCCAGTCGGGAGCATTCTTCTTAGGACATGGGTTGGCTCCACCAGTCTTGTTGTACCCACCATCACCGTCTGGGTTCTTGGTGGCAGCAAAAGCTTTCTTCAGCGTGTCGAAATCTTTGAGAGGCACAGCCTTGCCGTCTTCGAGTTTGACTAAACCGTAGTTATTGGGTTCCTGGGAATACTCATAGACGAGACCACCAGAGTAGACGCTGGTCATTTTATCGGAGTATAGAGCCTTCACTTCGTTCCATTCGCGTGTGTTGGTATTGCACCCGAACTCCGAGAGGAAAAGGGGCAGTCCGTAATCCGAGAATAGCTCGACCTTCTTGTTCCAGCCGGATATTTCGAAGGTGGATGGATCACACCATGAATAATCATTGAAAGCAAAGAAGTCACTGCGCTCGTCGTCGGGGCCGCAGTTCATGTATTGCGCCATCTGGAAGCGGTTGGTGTCGACATCGGCCTGTTGAAAAACAAAACGCAGAGTTAGCCTCGCAGTGTTTCTGTTCCCGTTCGAACATCATAACTTTGTTGCTATTCATACCGCAGAGTAACCGACAGGGACTTCTCTCAAGCCCTGCTGACGAATATATTGGCGCATATCGCGAGTGACCGCCTTGACGTAAGGGGCAGTATTCGATGAAAGGCCATCATTGACGACTTCGTTTCCAGAGAAGAAAGCCTGTAATCGTCATTAGCAAGCTTATCTGAATAGACCGTTGACAACTTGTTCAGGGGTGTTTAATCATACCAATGTGTTATCGTATCGGGCGAACATGTCAACGGTCGCAAATACGTTCTGGAGGTAAACGTCATTGTAGGAAGGCTTGGGATCTGTGGGAAAACCGGGTGGAACAAAGGTCAAAATAAATCACCCTCTGAATTCAATCTCATGCCGGGAACAAGGACGTACATACCCTTCCTGTTAATGGAGTACTTGGGGGTGTTGACATCGAGGACAAGGTAGATGCCAGCATCCGCCAAAGCTGCCATGCACTCGTCGTGATTCTGGCTGTTATCGACAGTGTAAATACGGATAGTGTTCAGACCCAGCTCCTTGAATTTGGCGATGTCGCTTTTGCATTCCTCGGCATCGGCAATTGGATCTTTGAGCTTGGAAGCTCCGCCCTGGACTGATATCAATTTCAGGAAACGCTCTCCTCCACTTGACTATCGGGACAGCAAGGACGAGTTGAACTTTGGACGAACCGGTTGATAATCACTAGAGCGAATAAAACATCAAATTAGAATGCATTTCGAAGTTTTAAGCTGGGGGAAACCATAAATAAATGGAACTGAATTGATATATTAAGAAAGAGATGGGAAGGGGTTAAGCTGGAACTTACACTCCACGTATATAAAACCGCTTGTCTCCCTGCCAGAATGCTAACAAACACAGAATAGCCCAGTCAACATACCAGCCGTCGCTCGGCATTGGGACTTGCCAATTCATTCAGGGGCTAAAGATAGTTTTTTGACATACCGTTTCCCTTGACCGTGATGGGAGTAATCTTGCTCGCTCTGGCGCGCACATCGCTGGCCACACCGGCGAAAGCGGACGAGGCCCCCAAGACAGCCGCCGTCAACACGGACACAGCTGTGGTTTTCATATTGAAGATTGGGCGCTAAATCTCCGTAGAGCGCTGTGGAAGGTGTCAATGAGCAGTTGTCTTTGCGTCTTTCTTTCTTTCTTTTGCTTTTTTTAAATTTAATTAACAAGATTTTCAGATCCTGTCCTGCGAGCGGGTGAGCAGAAGGTTGTTTAAAAAGATTGTAAAGAGATGATTTTTTTTCTTTCTTAAACGAGAGAATATGAAGAGGAGAAAAACACAAGAAGCAGGCGATGCTGGAAAGAACGAAGGGCAGAGGCTTCCCTCTCGAAGATGCAAAGGATGGAGTCAAGGAGGGAGTGAGAACGACAGAAAAGTTCCAAGCTGGGTGGATCGATCCAAAAGTGAAACAAAACGGAAACTCGATCAGTTAAAAGCCGGGACACGAGTGGGCCTGGCGGATCCTTGGGGACGGACTGCCTGTTTATTGGCTCTTGGGAGGGGAAACCCTTCCAGATTGGGCATATCCATCCCTGGACGCGGGCCTCCAGCTGCCCTAACAGGCCCCAAGGATTTAGTTAAGGATAGGCTGGCCCCGGACGGGGAGATCATATGCACGCACATCCAACACTTCCAAACAACTACGGAGTAATCAACCCAACGTCTTCATACACAGAAAAGGAGGCCCAGAGGATTATCTCAAACCATGCACAACTAATAGCCCCACAGATCCACCTCCATTTCTCCCTCCTCCACTCGGCCCCATAGGCCATCCCGCCATCCATCATGCCTCGCACAGGGACAGGCACCACAAGCACATTAGCGCCGCGCCACCCGCTCCACGATCGCCCGGTCTTCGTCTCTGAAACATACAAGCACCGCCAAGCAGCCACCAACGAGCGAGAATCCTCGTCCTGGCGCTGGGCACTTACGTGGCTGCTGGAGTTTGCGGCTGGTTTGCCCCATAATTTTTTTTTTTTTTTTTTTTTTTTTTTTTTTTTTGGGTCCTTCCCTCCCCCTTTTCTTGTTTTACTGGAGACTAACATGCGATCAAAAACCGGCGAATAACATTTCACTTAGATTTCTCGCAGTGTATCGGGCACAGTCTTAACTCCAATTCAAATTTTACCGACGCCACAAAGCAAGCGAGAGGCAGATAGACATATACAGTCCTCCACGACAAGAGAGATACGGATAGGAGGGGCAAGCTATGACAGCACGAAGTAATGACAATACGAAACATGAACAAAAAGAAGGATTACGCGCCCCGAGATAGTTAACCAACTAGTTATGTAAAAAACCAACTCAGCCAAACACGAATTACAACAAGATAAAAGAGTTGTTAACCGCCCATAAACGAACGGTATATCCGAGAAACTGCAATAGAAGAAATGAGCATGGTAAGGAGGAGACGGTAGCAAAAACATGCAATGCTGCCACCAAAAAGTGTGAAGGTAAAAAGGCAAGAAAAGCAAGAAAAATGTAGAGTGATATTGGACATTCGTAAATAAATGATAACTTTGCAGGAGAGGGTAACAAAGACCCATCCCAGTTATATGTAATCTGTAGCTCAACTCAAGTTACAATCCCCTCCGCAACCCCCCCTAACCTTTCCAGTCAAAACACAACATATGCATATCAAACAATTGTCCCTACACCTCTTCAATGTAATTCGCAGGGACACTCTTCGTCTGGCCCCCCTTCTCAACATCAGACCACCCATTCCCACTATCCCGGTTCACAAGCACAAATCTATCCCCTTCCGCCATGCTCCACTCCGCATCGCTGCGCGCTTCGTAGTCATACAACGCAACTACATATTGCAGCTTCTTCGCTCCGCGCTTGGGGGCCACCGCCGGACCACGTCGTTTGCCCGCAACGCTGCTGGCTAGGGACGCGCTGGAGTTTGAGTAGGTGGATCCTGGGCGGTCGGGGAGGCCGGGTTTTGGTGAGAGCGCTGGTGGTGGGGTGAAAATTACTTCGACGTAAGACGCTGGGACGAGGCCGGAGCGGGAGCCTGCCCGAACGCGCATCCAACCGGATCCGTCTACATTTTTATAAAAATAAAAAGGTTGATGTCAGCGGATGTGAGGTGTTTGGGACGAGGGAGGGAGCGGGGGGAAGATTGGGAAGAGGCAGGGGGCAGAAACTGTCATTGGGGGGAAAAACAGTACCATCTGGTTCAACAATTATAACTTCGCGGCCTTCTTCAACTGTAATTTCGTCCTCGCCGTTGGCGTCATATGGATACATCATTTTGCCTCGAGCTTCGTTAGATTTTACAGATAAGCCACGGCTGCGGCCCCCACCTCCACCGCCGCCTCCGTCAGCCTCTCCTTGGTCGGCTGGAGGAGGAGGAGCGCTGATGTATTGTGCGGGTGGGGGCGCAACAATTCGGTTTCTTCGGGGGGCAGTAGCCGGTTTCGTGGTCGTTGATGGAGCAGATTCTGGAAGCTCCGTTGGCCCTTCTTCGGCAACTTGTGGCGTTGAGAGTACAGATACAGAGCGCGCTGCGCTGGCCGCATATCCTGAGCTTAGGGAATTCATAGTATCTCTGCGGCTCAGTGTAGGTAACTCCGACGCCCCATTGGTGGGTGAGGCAATATCAACCGAAGCTCTTGAGCTGGCTGCTTCTTGTCTTTCTATTTTCAGCTTCCTTTTCTCTTCCTTAGTCTGCTCGCCAGGGCATTCCGCCGGGACTTTCATTTCGCATTTGCTGTGGCAGGTGTAGCCACAATCCCGGCAATCGAAGCCCTTTGCCGAGAGGCCCCAGATCCTCTCCCCGCAAAGATCGCAATTGGTGGGAATTTTAAACGTTTGTGATCGAAAATTGTGGTTCTTAGCTCCAAAGGATAAGTCGCCGACAACCGATATTATAGTCGATATCTCAACCTCTGCTGTTAATCGTTTACGGTCCAGCAGGTGAAGGTCTTCTTGCATGGCAAATATAGCCCGAACAACTTCTGCTTCATCTCTATTATCCTTCCCGTCACGAATGTTTTTCCGTAACTTTTTTGCGTTCTCGACCTCCTTCCTTTTTTTATCTGCCTCTGCCTTAAGCTCTTTTGCCTGGGCTTTGCTCTTCACTAGGGTATTTCGGAGGAAAACCTTTGAAGTCTCGTCCGTGATCATCGTGGCGTCATCGTGCCATACAGGGCTTGGCTCAAATTGCATGTCTGCAGGGTCCTGCCAATTTGTCATGTTGTGTCGAATAAACATTGTAGAGTCGAGCCAGGGCTCGTTGCGTGGAATTTCAGATATCAGATGGGAAACATGTTGGTCGCATTTCGTCAAAGTGTTTTTTTCCAGTTGCGCAGCCAACATCCAGATCGAATTCAATTTAGACACTCGTGTTTCATTGAGATCTTGTAATCCCTACGATAATAATGGTTATTCAAAATTGGTCAGTACTAAGCAAGCGGTAGGAAATGATTCTCATACATTCAGCAGTTCTGGGACATATTCATAGTAGTATTTCTCTTTTAGTTTGTTCGCTACATTTATAGAAATGAGGTACGTATTCTGTTGTCAAATTAGCATAGGGTCTCCTATGGCTTGGTTGGTCGTTCAGTCATACCTTCACATTATTCATCTCAAGAGTCTGTTGTTGATATGCCACTTGCGCCTTTTGCTTTCCATGATCGAATGAAGATTCCGTTTTTTTCCGTCGGTTTTCTACCTCCTGACAGGCTCCATCATATTTGCCCTTCACCTTCTTTAGATCACTATATGTGGAATCCCGTTCCTTCTCTAGCTTGCCCGCATAGTCAACATGGTTTTTTCGGAGTTCCTCAAACCGCACCGCTGCCTGCTTCAAAGGCTCAGCAACTTGGAAAAGAAGGTCTGAGCCGAAACGATCCCGGTCTGCCGCTTCGGCCTCAATAGCAGAGAGTTGTGTAGTCCAGGTAGTCAATGACGCCGATTCTAATGATCCAGGAGTCAACGATGGAGTTTCTCCCACGCTCAAGCTACTCGACTTTTTGGCCTTGCGCTCATGGTACTTTCGACATAATCCGGTAAGTTTCGCAGCGTATTCTTTCTCGATAGCGCTTCGTTCACGATAGAACTGCTGGACCTCTTCGAGCCACGCAATACCATTCGACACCTACACGTTTTTGACTTAATATCCTGGCACGAAAAGCATTCCGTAATCGTAAGGGACTGCTGTAAAGTGGAAATGGACGGGAAGGAACATGCGCACGGGAGTGCGGTGGAAAAGGAGGCGTACCCAGGCATTGACAGGTTTAAAGGCATCCTAATCAATAGGCAGCATTTAGCTTATAGACTTATTCTGAGGGCGGAAGCACAGGGAATATACCCTCAATTCAGACCCAAAGTGTGGAGAAGTATCAACATCTGTCATTGTTACTCTTATCCAGCTCCATGCAAGGCGTTGTGAAGTGGCGTGCGCACTTTCGTTGGAGATGCAATAAGGGGAACTACGGGCTTCGCAGCAATAAATTCAAAAAGAAAGTGGCGATCGCCGTTAGACTAGGTCAAGATATTCAACCCCAACGGGAAGAATCCAGGATAGAAAAGGTCGCGAGAGCCCAAGCCCACTTCAGCCACCTCCGACAAGCCACATTTGTCAGCCACTTCCCCAGTCGACAATTAAATATTATTTGGGACTAGTGGACTTCTGGAAGACCTTTGCCAAGATTTTCACACGAAAGCAGACTAGTGGGCAGGCTGCCGCTGATGACTCAGCAATATATGAAGCTTGGATGCTGGATTTGCGACAAAACATCTTCCTGGCCCAGCGACGACGGTGAAGAAGACGGCCGGATTTGTTGTCATTCACCGTCATTTCTGCTGGTAAACAAATGCCTGATTTGGCACAATACCGCTGACATACCCGTCCTCACTTTTGTTTTTATTCCTCATCCTGATATATATATCTCGCGCGAATCTGCGGGCCCCTCCATTCATTTTCACACCCTTCACACCCCTCCTCAAGCTCGACTCCTCCTACTAAAGTTCTCTGCCATCTACGCTTGGACATTTATTCGAGTTTCCTACATTCAATTCACAGTCTCCATCCATTATAGATTCATTTTAACATAATTCGCATTTTTCCCATCTGAGAATGGCGACAGAAACCCCCGCGGGAGGGCCCCTCGAAGCCCGCATATCCCGTGCAGAACCCAAGACAGATGCTTCTGCTACATCTGAGCCTGCTACTGGTAATTTCCCCTATGTGCCCGACTTGGATAACCATGTCGCGGCATTCCATCTAGTTTTTCGTTTTGTGTCATCATTGACTTTGTGACTTAGGAGACACCACAGAGACCCCCGCTGCTACAAAACCTTCAGCTGCGGATGGCCAAACGGATGGAGCCTCTGAAGGTTTTGGAGGATCCCAACTACAGGAACCAGAGTACTCGGTCAATGTCAAACTGAGCGACTTGCAAGCGGACCCAAATAATCCGTTATACTCAATTAAAAGTTTTGAGGAGCTTGGGCTGTAAGCCATTTTGATTTCACAACCCCATTCCCATTTCACACTCTGTTACCGGAGCTCATTGTAGCCGCAAATTCAGACATCCATCCATTCTCCAAGGTCTACATTCCATGAGCTTTCGTCGTCCCTCTAAGATCCAGGAAAAAGCCCTGCCGCTTCTCCTAAATAATCCCCCGGCGAACATGATTGGCCAATCACAATCCGGTACTGGAAAAACCGCTGCTTTCGTCCTGAACATCTTGTCTCGTCTTGATCTGTCTCCCCAGATGGAGCTTGCACCACAGGCATTGGTACTTGCGCCCAGTCGTGAGTTGGCTCGCCAGATAGTGGGTGTCATCCAAGTTATGGGATCATACGTCGACAAGTTGAAAGTTGCTACCGCCGTGCCCATGGAATCGAATCGCAATCAAAAAGTTGAAGCCCCCGTTGTTGTAGGCACCCCGGGAACTGTGATGGATCTCATCCGGAAACGGTTATTTAATCCGCAACATTTGAAAGTCATTGTGCTCGACGAGGCAGACAACATGCTCGACCAACAAGGCCTAGGGGATCAATGTATCCGTGTTAAAGGGTGAGTTTCCGCACCACCCATTTATATTCTACGCATATTCCTTCTGAGTAATGTCGATACAGGCTGCTTCCAAAAAATATTCAAGTTGTGCTCTTTTCAGCCACATTCCCCGATCACGTCGTTCGTTACGCCAACAAGTTTGCGCCGAATGCAAATCAGATTACTCTTAAACATGAAGAGTTGACAGTTGAAGGCATCAAACAACTCTACCTTGACTGTGACTCTGATGAGCACAAATTCGATATTCTGGTGAAGTTCTACGGCCTACTTACCATCGGATCATCAATTATTTTTGTAAAGGTAACATTTTCCCATATAACATACGATCCTCGACGATGCACTAACATCGATCTATAGACACGTGCTTCAGCAGTTGAAATTGAAAGGAGAATGGTGGCTGAAGGCCACACCGTCGTATCCCTCACCGGTGGCGTTGAGGGCCAAAAACGTGACGAAATCATTGACAAGTTCCGCCAAGGCGACGCCAAAGTGCTTATTACGACCAACGTGCTAGCTCGAGGAATCGATGTACAGACCGTATCAATGGTCATCAACTATGTACGCTGCCGGAGAGCTCTCTATTTTTTCTCCTTCTCAGCCGTATTTACAGCTAACCTTGCCTTAATAATTAAACAGGATATCCCTGAACTCCATGCTCCGAAAGCTACTAAGCGTATTGCTGACGCCCAGACTTATCTTCACCGCATTGGTCGTACTGGCCGCTTCGGCCGCGTCGGCGTGGCGGTGTCCTTCGTTGCCAGTAAGGAAGAATGGCAGATGCTCCAGGATATTAAGACGTATTTCAACACTGAAATCCAGCGTGTGAACACTCAGGATTGGGATGAGGTTGAAGAAGTGGTAAAGACCATTATCCGAAGCTCGAGAGCTGGGTCAAATTTTCAACGCTCTTAAGCCTCAACGTTATTCAACAAAGCAAAAGTGATTTAAAGAGATATGCCGCAACTGTTTGTCGGTTTCCTTTCTCCGTGCTCTTTCGCGTCGACTAGAATCCCCATCCATGACGGTGATCAGTGTCTTTAAGTCCAACTCTTGAAAAATTACTGCTTGAAACTTGTCATGCGCAAATGTTTTCACGACAGGAAGGAAGAGTCCGTAGCATGAGCGGCTGTT